TTGGCCATTTTCTTATGGCTGTCCCCTGCTAGTCATTCTTTTCTCTGTTTTCTTACACTGAATGGTGATGCAACATGATTATCTGACAAAAAATACAGGAACAAATTGCAATTCCAATACTTGGTAGAAGCTGCCTGTGAAATTTCATTTTTCCAGGAAGAAGGTCAGCTCAGATTCCAGCAGAAATGCCAAATTATCTGTGATTTGAAAATGCATGTCAAGAAAGTGGGCCAGGGGATAGGATGCTGCTGCAACACTCTGCAAACCTCATTTGTTCTTGCTCTGTGCTTGCCAAGACTTACTATTTCCCACACTACAGCAATTTTGGTTCCAGCCCTTGTCGGAGCTTTTGATTATTGAAAACTCTCACTGCTGCGTGTTTGTGGTTTACTTGTCTGAGGCCACTTCCTGGAGAAGTAGCAGTAAAGCAGCTGTTTGCAAGCGAGGAGAAGAGATGCAGAGAATTCCTGGCTGCAGGGCAGGAGATGAGAGCAGTCGCTTGGGGAGGACAGAATTTGGGGATTTCATTTCATGTCTTTGCACCCAAGCACCTGTGTGCTTCAGAGTGGAGGGTTAATGTCAAACTCACTTTCATCACCTTGTCAAAGGACCCCATCTGACTAGGTTTCTAGAAGGCTCTTCAGCTTCCTTGCTCTGGGAAGCTGCAGCTAGTGACTGCCCCTCCTAGTGTCAAGGACATCAGCAGAAGCTCCTATTATTTTTTATTTTTATTGTTTAGATATTTATTTACTTGAAAGCAGAGTGTCAGAGAGACAGAGACAGAAAGACAGATCTTCCATGCACTGGTTCTCTCTGCTACAATAGCAGAGGCTGGGCAAAGCCAAAGCCAAAGCCAGGAGACAACAACTCCAGCAAGGTCTCCCGTGTCAGTGCAGGGACCTACATACTTGGGCCATCATCTTCTACCTCTTAGCAGGAAGCTAGATTGGAAGCAAAGGAGTCGGGACTAGAACAGGCTTTCTAAAATGGGATGCCAGCCCAACAAACAGTAGCTTAACCTACTGCTCCACAATGCCTACCCCAAAAAGTCTTTATTTTACATGTTGAATAACAGACAAAGGACCAGGAGAACCAGCACCAGTTCCCAGCATGGTCCCTTCCTCTCGGGTTTTCTTCTATAAACTCTGAAAAGACAGTGGACTGGGGTTAGGGTTGGTTGTGCATGACAAAAACCAGAACAAATCAAGAAGATAGTTCAGTGAAGTGGGAAGCTTCACAAAGCCACAGAGGGTTCACTCTCCCTTCTTTCCTTTTTAAATTTTTGCTAAATAGCTTACAGCAATATGTTTTAAATGAATTAATTAACTAATGAGAGAGAGCCAGAGCTCTCCCACCTGGTGGTTCACTCTCCATTACTGTTGCCTGTGAGAGTTTACTTTGGCAGGAAATTTGAGTCAGGAGCCAGAGCCGGGACTCAAACTCTGATGTGCACTGGGGCATCTTAACTGCTATGCTAAATGCCTACTCTTAGCAGCCTCTCTTCTTATTACACCACCTCTTTCAGCAAGTTGGTTGCACTTTGTGGTCCAAGATGGTGGTTGCAATCCAGGCCCCACAGTCACAGCAAGTCAGCTGGAGAGAAGAGTGGCGGAGACTTGTAAGGCCCCTTTAAGAAGACTTTATAGGAGGGTCACAAAATGTGTTCACTTAGGTTCCATTGGCCACCATTTTGTCACAGACAGGAAGGGTCCTCTTTGTGGGGGGCAGTCGTGTGCCAGGTGGAGAGCCGGGGCTTCTATCACTGGGCAGGCAGGGAATTCAGATGGTGAGGGAGTAAATTAGCAAACTCTGCCATGGAAAGTATTTTTGAAGAGCAGGGGCTATGCACTCACCAGTCCTGGGTTCGCATGTCAACCCCTGCTTAGTAACAGTAAGACCTTGGTTACCTTTCATCTCTTCAAACACGTCCTCTATAAAATGGTCATGAGACTCCCGTCATGGGGACGAAATGACAAAATGCATGTTCACTTTTTAGCACAGTAGCTGTTACTGTCATACTAATCAGTATCTTGGACTTCATTTACTTATTCTGACATGTAGTGTTGGTTACACATGGTGAATTCAATCCCCAGGTTTTTTTTTTTTTTTTCTCCAGATCCTTTCTTAAGAATTAGTGAGAGTAACTGGGGCCAGGACAGCTGGGGACAACGTAAGCTCATGTTTATCCATGTGTATTCAGAGAGGACATAGCCACTTGGTCCCTGTGTAGGTGATCTTCATTTTGGCAAACCTGAGAGTGCGCTTAGCGGTGAAGCTGCAGGAAATATTTGTGTTTCAGAAACAGGTCAAAGCTGGTGTGTGTAGAAGCAGAAAGAGCTTAGGGGAGACAGCGCCAGCCCAGATACCCAGCTACGGGGCCACATCTCAGGGCACCGGCTCCTCATCACTACGAGGGGAGGGGCTGAGAGTACAGTTATGAGCCCGAGGATTCTGATGGTTCCCTACTCCCAAGGGAGGATTTCTGGTGTTCAAGGGTCACTTCCTGAATGCCAGCCCAATCATAAACCAACTGGGCTTGCTGCAGGCCATTCACTGTGATCTCTTCCAGGAGCAGTGACTCATGGGAAAGGGGGCGGGGATGGTAGTTGGGATTTTTTTTTTTCTGGATTCAAGTCACTTGCCACTCCCAGGTATCTGGTAGACTTTCAGTCATAAATATTCCTCAGTACTTTCTGGGACGGGGCAGTATGTAGGCCGTGAGGGCTCTGAGCAAGACCCAGGCTCTGCCTTCAAGGTTGTTGCCACCCACAGGAAATCAGACAAGCATCAGGTGTGGTAGATGATTCGATCGCTCCCATTTCTTTACTCCACTTGGTGCAATGATTTCCCCTGCCCCATGCATGGTAGGTTGGGCCGTGAAGCTTACTGAGGCCAGTGGAATGCGGGAAGACAGGAGTGAGCTGACTCTGAGCAGAGCCTTGTGTGTTTTTGCTCCATGGTTTGTGTTCTGTCCTCTCGTGGACAGATCATGTCCAGGAAGCTTACTGGTACAAGGAGCACGGCAGACACAAGGGGCCAACTCAGAACCAAGCCCAACCTGGCCTGGTTAGCCAAACTCCACCTGACCCACTAAGTAAAGCAAAGGATGGTTGTTTTACACTGTTCAGTTGTGTGGTGTTTGTTAAGCGGCTCCATTGTGGCAAAGGTTGGCTGATAAAGCAGACAGTAGTGATTGAGTGTGAGCGGGACCACAGCAAGACATGAAGGGCTTCTGCAACTCCAGTTCTGGGGAGGTTTGCCAGGGGGACCGCTTCCCGAACTTGTGTAAGTTGATCACTTTTCAGGACCCATTTTGTTTTTTCCCATGGGTTGCTCTGGACCAGTTAGCAGTATATACAATCCTCCAATGTATGTCAGAATCGTATGTAAAACAAAAGCTAATCCATGGTGAATATAGCCATCCCATGGTATCTGCAGATTTGTTCCAGGATCCCCTTGGATATAGAATTTGTGGATGATATAAAAAACATTTGCATATAACCCACCCGTATCTCTCCATATTACTTGTGATCATCTCTAGATAACTTATGACACTTGCTAAATGTAAATGCTGTGCAAATGGTTGTTACACTGTATTATGTAGGGAATGATGACAAGAATAATTCTGTACATGTTCAGGTCAGATGCAATCCTTTCACAAGTGACTTCCTGTCTGTGGGAGGTTGAATCTTTGGGTGTAGAACCCATGGATATGGAAGGCTGGCTGTGTAGGAAAAACTCTCCAAGAAGTGAAATCTGAGGACTTTTCATTCATCCATTCATTCACTCTATTAGTTTTTTTTTTATCATTTTTTTTGACAGGCAGAGTGGAGAGTGAGAGAGAAAGAGACAGAGAGAAAGGTCTTCCTTTTCCGTTGGTTCACCCCCCAATGGCCGCTGTGGCCAGCCCACCACGCTGATCCGATGGCAGGAGCCAGGTACTTATCCTGGTCTCCCATGGGGTGCAGGGCCCAAGCACTTGGGCCATCCTCCACTGCACTCCCAGGCCACAGCAGAGAGCTGGCCTGGAAGAGGAGGAGCAACTGGGACAGAATCCGGTGCCCCAACCGGGACTAGAACCCGGGGTGCCGGTACCGCTAGGTGGAGGATTAGCCTAGTGAGCCGTGGCACTGGCCCATCCATTCATTCAACAAATAGCAACTGGGGATAGATTTGTGAATAAAATAAGGCAGGGTCTTTATGCACACAGTACTTACAGTCTAGAAAGAGGAGACCTGGTTGATGCTGAGTGCCGCCGAGAACTATGGAGAGGAAAGAAAATACGGAGCAGTGGGGTAGAAGGGGGGTATAATTTCACCGTGGGAGGTGAGGGAAAATCTGGCCAAGATCAGCAAGTGTGAGCACAGGCCTGCGGGAACGGCACCGGCAGTGACCTCAGCTGAGGAGGGGGTATCTCAGGCAGAGGGCGGGGGTGGCTGAGTCATGCTTCGGGGGGACAGAAACTTTGGGTATGAAGTCCCTATTCCAAGAGGGTCTGCACAGATGCTCCAGGATTGGACTTGACGAATGTTCAATGGATATTGAACTTTGGCGTTTTCTTATAGAAAACAACAGGTAGGCATGGCGGGCATTTGGCTTAGCACTTCAGACACCGGTTCACACGCCTGCATCCCACATTGGAGTAACTAGGTTCAATTCCTGGCTCCCACTCCTCACTCCAGCTTCCTGCTAAAGCTGACCTTGGGAGGCTGCAGTGATGACTCAAGTAGTTGGATTCTTGCCACCCACGTGGAAGCCTTCCATTGCATTTTTGCATCCTGATTTTGGCCAGGCCCAGTCCTGACCATTGGGACATTTGGGAGCAAGAACCAGAGGATGGGAGCTCTCCCTGTCTCTCCATCCCTATCTATCTGCCTCTCTAAATCTAGCAGATTTCTATCGTCAGATGGAGCCTCTAGATCCTTCTCCTAGGACCATCAATCAGCGGTCATCCCTTTGGGAGTTTGTGGCTCCTGGTGACCCCCTATGTCTTCTCCTAGGCAACGGTGGGCTGGACCTAAGCGCTCTACTTCCTGTGTCCCCTGGGGGCTGCCAGGAGCCATGTTCATCTTGTACACGTTCATGATGAGTGTTTTTGCCTTTGCCATTCAGCCAGAGGCGCACACAGGTAAGAAGTAGCTCCTTTAGCTGGAAAGGGGCTTGCTGCAGCTTCTGTGGGCAAAGCAGTCATCGAGGGAGATTTTGTTGTTATCTAAAAGCAAAAGTGTAAATATTTGTGCCTTGCTAATTGGAGGTTCTGCCTCTTTGCTGCATCCTGGATTGGGTCATTCCTGCTAAGAAGTAAACCATGGTGGGGAATTGGTCCTTAGCAGAAGATGCCTTTGGGTTTGAATCACATGGGCTTTTACAACGAAGCTCTCTGTCTGGGCATTTAATGAAGAGGGCTCAACAAGTGAAAATTCTGTTCAAGTTTTTAAATCTTTAGCAATTTTTTTCTACCTGTGAAGTTGATTTAACTTTCACCATGGAATCTAAGTTGGAATTGATGGTAGCCCTGAACTTGTTATTTGGGAATTTTAAAATCATAACAATGGGAGGTTCACAGGTTCCCGGCTCACAACATGATGGGTTGCTTTGTTTCGGGACAGGTGGTGTCTGTGTCACTGCCAAAGCCAGCTGCTGTCTGAGGTCTGGGGCACTTCTGTGATCAGAGCAGGTTTTTGGATGGAAAGACTGACGGTGGTCTCTGTCCTTCTGTGGCTACAGGACACTGCCCATATCGTGGCAAGCATTTCAAAGTGGAATTCAGGCTGGAAGGGGAGCTGGTGGTCCTAAGGTGCCCCCAGATGTGGTCCTGGGCAGGGATTTCTGTCGACCCCCACGTCAACCTGACCTGGCGTAGAAACGGTTCTGCTCAGCTGGTTCCGGCAGAAGAGGCACGGATGCGGGTGGAGGACGGCAAGCTCTGGCTCCTGCCTGCCTTGCAGAGCGACTCTGGAACCTACATCTGCACTGTCAGGTAGGCCCTGTGGGTTGGGGCTGGGGACTGGGTCTCCTTGCACAGAGCTGGCCTGGATTTCACATCCAGTGCGCAGGTGAGAATCCGCCATCCTCTTCACTGTTCCGTAATGTCCCCTGCTGCATGTTCTCATGGTTCCTCCCTCTCACCATCTGGTCTTTGCTCAAACGTCACCTTTTTGGAGGGAACTCTCCTAAGCCACTTAACTTGACACAGCACTCTGCCTTTCATTGTCCCCCTTCCTCTGCTGTGATTTTCCCCACCCGACACATCTCTCTGTGTTTGTGTGTTAATGCTTGTCCACCCTATCAGAACAGACACTCCAGGAGGGCATTGACCTGGTCTATTCTATTCACTGATGAATGCACATGACAGAGACACAAGAAATGTAGAACCCTGGATAGAATTTGAGAGCTGGATGTGACCTTTGGATAGATGACTACAACCACTGGTTGTGAAGAGGAGGGAACCAAGCTCGCTTGCAGTATCTACAAGATGGAGCTGAACCTGAACCTGACTTTTCGGCCAGTGCTCTTCTCTCTCGTCCTGTAGCTTTTTTTTTCTTCTTTCTTTAATAGTGGTAAAATGGTGGTAAAATGGTAAAATAGTGGTAAAATGACACAAATTTTGCCATCTTAACCTTTTTAAGTGCACGAATCAGCGGTATCAAGTACATTCACACTCTGTGCAACACTGCCACCATCCATCTTTTGGACTTCTTCTTCTTCCCAAACTAAAACTCAGTTCTCCTTAAACTAACTCCCCAGGCTGCCCTCTCCCCGGCCCCTAGTTACCACCTTTCTGTCTTGTGTCACCATGAATTTGACTCTCCTAGGTATCATATCTAAGTGGAATCGTACACTTTTTGTCCTTTGGTGACTGGCTCATTTCATTCCATATGGTGTCATCAAGGCTCACCCATGGATAGCAGTGCTAGAATATTCTCTTGCTTTTCTTATTCCAGTATATGTAGAAACTGTTCTTTGTGTCTGCATTACCCATCCATGGCCATTTGCCCCACTTCCACTTAGGTTATTATGAACAATGCTAATGGGAGCCCAGTGATACAAATATCTCTTTGAGTCCCTGTTTCAATCCTTTTGGCTCTACACACAAAAGAGGGATTTTTGGGTCATATGGTAGTTCTAGGTTTAATTTTTGAGGAATTGCCATACTCTTTTCCCAGGTGCTGCACTATTTTACATTCCCACGAACAGTGTACAAGGGTTCAGTTTCTCCACATCTTCACCAGCACTTGTTATTTTCTGCCATCTGCAATGACTGGGCCTGATCTAGGCTAAAGTCAGGAGCCTGGAACCCCATCCAGGTTGAGCCATCCTCCACTGCTTTCCCAGGTGTATTAGCAGGAAGTTGGGTTAGAAGTTGAGCAGCCAGGACTCGGATCAGCACTCCAATATGGGATGCTGGCGTTGCAAGTCCTGGCTTAATTGGCTTCACCACAACGCTGGCCCCTAGGGACAGGTTTAACTCTACCAGTGAACTCATCTAGGAAGCAGGTAGACAATCTCCTATTTCTGAAACAGCGAAATATGGATGTGTGATTTTACAACACCATAGCCTCATGTCTTGTTTTCTTTTTCCGTCTCCAAATTCTAATTCTCTTTGAGGAGCACTGCTAGGGAAACTGAATAGTGTGATAGGAAGAAATGGAATTTGAAGGCGGAACGTCATGGATGGGACTCTTAGCTCACCAACGTTCTACCTGGCAGGACCTTGGTCCTATAACTTGACTTCTATGGACCTCAGTGTTCTCCCTGTGAGGTTTGTTGAGTGGGTTACAAGGAATCACAGCATGTGAAGGATCTAGCTTGGGCAGTGCTGTGGGAGGTGGTCAGTATGCAAATGGAGATGCCCTCTCCTTCCCCAAAGACAGTCCTTATGACTACTGGACTGATTCTACGCAACAGCAGGCTTCCACTTTCTTTGCACAGTGGAGGGTTTCCCTGGGCCGTCTCTGAGACTATCTCAGCTATAACATCAGGGTTGAATAGAGTGAGAATCCTCAGGTGTGGCCCTGAAACCCTTTAGCATTTATAATCAGAGGCCGTGTGTGCCGACCTGCAGCACAAAGAACTGGGTTTCCTGAAACAGAGAGTGGGAATGCGGGGACAAGGACTCAAAGAATGGAGCCAAGACAAATCCTGATCAAGGCCCATTTATTCAACAAGTCCAGTAGTATTTAAACATGACCAGTTGTACACAAGAAGGCACACAAAAGATTTACATATCTAAAAGATTTTTGGGGTTACAAAGAGTTCCCGACAAGGTTCTTCTGCTTAACAGATCACAAAATGTTATCAATCATTGATTACAAGGGTATAATAAAACACACAGGTGATCAATGCAGGTTTCAGGTGTGGCTGATTATCTACATCATCTCTTGTGAGAAGTCTAGCAGTGAGATACGGTTCTTCCTGCCTCTTCCTGGAATCTCCTTAGCCTAATTGTCTGTGCCGGGATGTGTCCATCCATATGTTTAAGTGTAAACAAAAGGGGCGACTGCCTGTGGCTGCCCACACCATGAGACTTTCCTGTTCTGGTGAGCTTTGGGATCTTGTGATCTAGATCCTGCATGGCCCTTCTGTCTAGAACCATAGCAGGCAAGGTTGTGCAGCTGTGACAAACAGCTCCCTCCCCAGTCTCAGTGGCTGAAAATAGCAGAAGCTTGTTTCTCACACATTCCCCAAGTCCATCAGGGTTGGCAGACACCCAGGGACCCACCAGAAGGGACAGTCATTATTTCAAATGGTACTGGGTGCTGTCCTAGAAGGAAATGTACATTGCAGAGTCTTTCATAGCTATGAAAACTTTGATATAGAAATCTCTCTCTCTCTCCCTCTCTCTCTCTCTCTCTCTCACACACACATACACACACACATGCACACAGCTCATTATCTAGAAAGTCTTAAACTGTACCCACCCACAGGAAGGCGAGGACTTGCAGCATGCCCTGAGCTCAGAATGGGGTCTACTGAGCATTTTTGGTGACCAGCGTGAGTGATGGCCTCCTCTGTGCTACAGGGATGCCACATCACACAGGGAACGTGAGTGGCTTGATCCAATTATCAAATTACCTCCCACCGCTCTCTTTCTTTTGAGTTATTTTCGTGGAATGTCTTGCCCAAGGGAAGTTTCCAGACCACGCTCGAATGCCTGGGCCGTTTGGTTTCCAGAGACAAAGTCCTCGTCTACAGGTTTCCCCCGAGCCCTGCTGGGCCTCCACCCTCAATCTGACCTCTTACTGTAACTATACTAGCTTAGGAAATTACTAATTACTCAGTTTTAGTATACCTGTTTTCCTCATCTGAAAATCATATAGCAATTCCTACCTCATAGAGTTGGGGAATAAAATACTGTATGTCAAGCCCTCACATAGGGCCTACCTAGCACACACTTTCTGGGGAGGGCCCACTTGCTCTGATGACTGGTGTTCAAGTGTGCACTGTTCTGTCCACCTGTCTCCATGCGCGTTTCTCAGCTCCTAGTGAGATTATGTATTGTTCAAGATAAGAGTTACCTCTCTATTTCTTTATGCTATGAGAGGTTTTTAAACATTTCAAGGAAAATGCATATTATGAAAAACTATGCAGGGATTTCAATATTTTTGATGGCAAAATAAATTTATCTTTTTTTTTAAATTACTTATTTATTTATTTGAATTGCAGAGTTTCAGAGAGAGAGGGAAAGACGGGGCAGGGGAGAGGGTGGGTTAGAGAGGGAGAGAGAGAGAGAGAAAGAGAGAGAGAGAGAGTGAGAGAAAGATTTTCTATCTGCTGGTTCACTCCCAAAATGGCCACAAAGGCTGGGGCTAGGCCAGGCCCACGCCAGGAGCCAGGAGCTCTACTGGGTTTCCCACGCACGTTCAGGGGCTCAGGCACTTGGGCCGTCTTCCGCTGCTTCCCCAGGTACCTTAGCAGGGAGATGGATTGGAAGTGGAGCAGCCACGACGGGAACTGGTGCCCACATGGGATGCCAGTGTCGCAGTATCCCAGCTACGCCACATGCCAGCCCCAATAAGTTTATTTTTTAATTTCTTTTTCCAAGAACATTTTGAGTACCCTCTTGTTTGAATTCATTCTTTTAACTTTCAGTTACTGATCTTTTATCATTTATTTTTTCACACACAATTTTCACACTGTGTCCTTCTTAGGATACAGATTGTTAAATATTTTGCTGTGTAAGTAGTTTATACCTTTATATGTAAAACCTAAAACCCATCATCATTTTCTCTGTTCATGCCTTATGTGTCTTAGGTCTGCGACTTAGCTGGGATAATTAAATCTTTATTTATTTATTTATTTATTTTTTACTTAAAAAAAGTGTTTTGGTTTACGAAATTCTGCCTTTGCATCCATTTCCCTCAGATTCCCAGCATAGTTTTGCCTCTATTTCTTTCCCCTTTCTAAGGTCTTGATAGAATTATGGTATTGAGGTTACGATTGGCTAATAGCCAACCAGCCAACCAACCACTAACCAAATAAATACCCCACAAACTTACCAAGTTCATCTTCCCCATGATGTTTTGCAAGAATTTTTTATGTGCCTCACACTAAGTTCCCAGCAGTTTTATGCAGCTGGGCTCCAGGGGTGAGTGATTCCCCAGGGAAGCAAAGGATATTTTCTGCTTACAGAGACAGCGGCTCTTGTGAAACCACCTCTGTCTTTGCTTTTGGTTCCTTGGAGTTGGAGCACGTCTGGGCTGGGTTCAAGGAGCTTCAGCCCTGGGCTTTTGAAGAGGGCTTGGGGATTTCTATTTTTTAAAAAGATATTTTTTTTGACAGGCAGAGTGGACAGTGAGAGAGAGAGACAGTGAGAAAGGTCTTCCTTTGCCGTTGGTTCACCCTCCAGTGGCCGCCACGGCCGGCGTGCTGCGGCTGGTGCACCGCGCTGATCCGATGGCAGAAGCCAGGAGCCAGGTACTTATCCTGGTCTCCCATGGGGTGCAGGGCCCAAGGACTTGGGCCATCCTCCACTGCACTCCCTGGCCACAGCAGAGAGCTGGCCTAGAAGAGGGGCAACCGGGACAGAATCCGGCATCCCGACCGGGACTAGAACCTGGTGTGCCGGCACCACAAGGTGGATGATTAGCCTAGTGAGCCGCGACGCCGGCCATGGGCTTGGGGGATTTCTTAGCAGCCCTTGAGGGCACTGGGGCCATGCTTGTGCAGGCTCTTCGGGAAGAAGACAGGACATGTCACTGATTCCATGCAACACTTACGGTGAGATGCTGCTCGTCGCCCATGATTCTACAAGGTCACGGAAGCACAGGCCAGATCAAGAAAATGCGGCTGCAGAATCTTATGTGGTTGGGGAAATTCTTCTCCATTCATTTAGTTGAACTTTTTATTTTGCTTTTCCGTTTACTGTTCTTTTTTCTCTCTTTTGAATCAGAAACGCCTCCTACTGTGGTGAAATGTCCACGGAGCTCAGGGTTTTTGAAAACACGGAAGCATCCCTGCCGTTCATCTCCTACCCACAGATTCTAACCTTGTCAACTTCTGGGAGATTAGTGTGCCCTGATTTAGGGGAATTCGCCCGTAACAAAACTGATGTGAAGATTCAATGGTACAAGGTACATCTCTTAAAAATTCCATTTCATTAAAATGTGTCTCACTAGCCATTGAAAAGATATCAAATACCCATTTCTGAAGGTAGTACATTCACATATATTTCCGTATTATAAATATGTGTTCAGCAACTAGAAAGGACCATGATTAACCTGTCCCATTCACCCATATGAGGGACTTCAAGTAGGGATCTTGGGGACGGTGACTTGAGAAGACAGAATATAAAATGAATCCAGTGCAAGTAATAGCTGAAATAAACAGGTTTTTACTCTGTCTTTGTGAATATTGGAAAACTTGTGTATGTAATAACTTTATACACACACATTAAAGGAGTTTTTTTCAGATTTATTTATTGATTTGAAAGTCAGAGTTACACATACAGAGAGAAGGAGAGTCAGAGAGAGAGAGAGAGAGAGGTCTTATCCGCTGGTTCACTCCTCAAATGGCCACAACGGCAGGAGCTGAGCTGATCCGAAGCCAGGAGCCAGGAGCTTCTTCCAGGTCTCCCATGTGGGTACAGGAGCCCAAGGAATTGGGTCATCTTCTACTGCTTTCCCAGGCCACAGCAGAGAGCTGATTGGAAGTGGAGTAGCTGAGACTTGAACCAGTGCCCATATGGGATGTTGGTGCTGCAGACAGCAGTTTTACATGCTACGCCACAGTGCTGAGTGCTGGCCCCAGAAGTGGTTTTTTTTTTTTTTTTTAAAGCAAACAATAACTCTTAGGTTAAAGGAGAAAGGATAAACATCTTTTTCCCTTGTCTGGTTGAATAAATACTACAGGTGCTTTACCGGTTCCTAGTGAGAAGACAAGATCGCTTATGTATAGACCAGGTGTTGGCAAACTGCAGTTTGGGGCCAAATCAAGCCACCACCTTTCTTTGCAAGTTCACAGGGTAAAGATAGTTTTGACTTTTTTTTTAAAAGCTTGGGGAAAAAAAGCATATGTCATGAAAATCATGTAAAATTCAAATTTCAACATCCATAAACAGAGTCATACTGGAACATAGCCACACTCCTGTGTTTATGTGTTGTCAGTGGTTGCGCATTGCAGAGTTGTGACAGAAGCCATGGGGGCCATAAAGCCTAAGCAGTTTCTTGTCTGGCCCTTCGTGGAAGCTTGCCACTCCCTGATATTGGCCATTGTTTGGTACTTAACAGAATGAGCCTGTTCATTAACAATAGGTTGACCAGAAGTTTGGCTTTCTAACTACAAGATAAATGACCAAATGCATAGTGGACACATGGGTGTATACAGGATATCAGTTTAGAATTGTAAGCTCTGAAATGGTTTTCAGGGAATGGAAGAAAGTAGCTGGATCCTGTGCCTAAGCCAGCACAGCTACAGAAGGCACTCTCTTTTGGTTTAGAAAGAGGATGTAGAGAACAAATGAAAAGAGAGAGAGAGAGAGAGAGAGAGAGAGAGAGAGAGAGTCTTCTATGAGATGGTTTACTTCTCAGACAGCCTGCAACGGCTGGAGCTGAGCTGATCTGAAGCCAGGAGTCAGGAGCTTCTTCCAGGTCTCCCATGCGGGTGCAGGGTCCCAAGGACTTGGGCCATCTTCCACTGCTTTCCCAGGCCATAGCAGAGAGCTGGATCAGAAGTGGAGCAGTAGGAACTTGAACCGGCGCCCTTATGGGATGCCGGCACTGCAGTCGGCAGCTTTACCTGCTATGACACAGCGCCAGCCCCATCCTTCATTTAATTGTACAGCAGCCTTAGCCAACTTATTTCCCCTCTTGGATCTGTGTATTCTTTAGAACGGCACTCAGTAATTCCCATGGTCCAGGATGGTTTTGAAGATTAAATGGAATGCTGTGCATGAAGTACCTAGTGCAGGGACTGATAGAGAGATAGGGCTCAGCATATGTGTGTGGAAAAAGATATCATGGAAATGCTTTATTTTTTCCCTCCATAATAATGCCATGTGTAGGGCTGGTGCTGTGGTGTAGTGGATTAAGCTGCCGCCTGCAATGCTGGCATCGCATATGGTTCGAGTCCTGGCTGCTCCACTTCTGGTTCAGCTCCCTGCTAATGTGCCTGTGAAAACATTGGAAAGTAGCCCAAATGCTTTGGCCCCTGTACCCATGTGGGAGATCCGGAAGAAGCTCCTGGCTCCTGGCTTCAACCTGACCCAGCCCTGGCCATTGTGGCCATTTGGGGAGTGAACCAGCAGATGGATGATCTCTCTCTCTCTGTCTCTCTCTCTGTCTTTCTGTCTCTCTCTCTGTAACTCTGCCTTTCAAATAAATAAATAATCTTAAGAAAATACTGCCATGTGTTCTGAGCATGTACTATATCCAAGCCTATTCCAAACTCCTCAATGTGCAACCATTTTACAGATAAGGAAATGTAAGGAGCTTACTCCAAGTCACATGGCTGGTAGGCGCAGAAGTCCAAACGCTAACCCTGGAGTAATTGTACTGCTGGGCCCTGTTGGTTTCTTCATATTTGACCACTCATGCCAAGAACTGTGGGGAGCAGCCCGGACTAGACTGAGTTACTGGAATTAAGACTTATTCTATGCATCTGCTCTCCCACAATATGGCGCTGGGAGAGAAGTAAACAGCTTCCGCACAGCTGCCTCCAGTTCAACCAATTAACTGTAGGACTTGCTCCTGATTGGAGAGCAGCGTACTCGGCGTGTGGGCAGCCGAGTTGGGATTGGCGGAGGAGGACTATAAAGGAGGAGAGAGACGGCATGCACAAGGAACATCTATGGGGAACATCTAAGGGAACCCGTGCAGCCCCCGAGAGAACCGGCCGGCGGTGTGCCGCTCCCCTGCGGAAGTGGGGAATGTGGCCAGGGGGAACTGCCCTTCCACGGAGGTGGAAGGGATAGTAGCCAACCCGGGAAGAACCAGCAGCAAACCCGGGGAGGGCCGAGCAGACAAAAGAACAGCGCAGGGTCCTGTGTCGTTCCTCCACGAAGAGGGGGAGCGACAAAGAACAATGAGAGTTGTCCTTTTAATTAAATAAACTCTGAGGAAGAACTTCATGAGCCGTGTGGCTGACTATTTCAATTTTGTCTGTGATCCTATTACAAGTAAGATTCTGAAATGACTCAGGGTATATCAGACCATTGTCAGCTTTCAACCATCAAGATTTTGAAAGACACATTCCTGAGAATATGGTGTTCCCATTGGGATGTTCTCCTAAACCCCATTCACTGTTTCCTGTTTACTGGAGGCCTTGTGCTTGTATTCTACAGAGAATCCATGGAACCCTGTACCACATGAGATATGTGGACTCATTTCTCCCATGTAGTCTTTTCGTATGAATTTTTCTCCACCTTGCTGACTCCTAAGATTGATTTTAAAGTAATTACCACAGTATCATCTCCTCTGAGCACTGTCATCCAAGTCATCATGACTAATAGTGTTCTTCCCAGAAATTTCCTGAGGCCTATCAGAAGCAGTCAGGTCATAAATATGTATTTAAAAATGGCCTACATTGTCAAGAAGAGTTAGTTTGTTTCTTCCCATGTGCTTAAAAATGCTTTAAATTTTGGGGTAAAAAATTTAGCAATTTTATTTCTTTTATATGTTAATAAATTCCTTTTCCTTTTGTACTTTGGGTATATTTTTAACTATGTTTTTCATAGTTGGCCAAATCAATAATACCAGGGCAAATTTTTGGTTGCAAATTCAACATTAGTTCACAGTGATAGTGCGATTTGTAGCTTTTGAGATGTATATTAGTAGATAATGTAATATTAAAAACCGTTTTTTTCTTAAGGATTCTGTCCTTTTGGATCAAGACAATAAGAAATTTATAAGTGTGACAGGGACATCTCACTTAGTCATCCAGGATGTGGCCATGGAGGATGCGGGCTACTACATGTGTGCCTTCACATTTTCCCATGGAGGAAAGCAGTACAACGTCACTAGGAATATTGAACTGCGTATCAAGCGTAAGTACTCGAGGGCCTTGTGCATCCTGGCTCAGTAACAAGAATGATATCAACAAATTTGGGTTCGTGTAGAATTCTTGGCACGTCTTCGCTATGAAAGGCAGTGGAAAACGGACGTGTGGACTCACCTAAAACAGCAGACTTATGACAGGTGTGTGACGTTTTGAAAGGTGTTGAGCAGGGAGGGGAGATGAATCCTTGGGGAGTTGATGGAGTTCGAGGATGAATCTAAAAGGCACCACTAGAGGGAGCCAAACAACGGTTTGCCTGAAAGATCTCTGCAAAAAATTTCCACCAACAGGCTCTGTGGTAGAACATGGCTGCCCTATCTTTGTGTCTAATTCTGCGATACTGGGCTTTTATTAAATTTTTCAGCTAGAACACAATGTATTGGCATATCCAGTGAAAATCATCCTTTTGTGGTCTTTTCTAAGATGTGTCTAGCTGCTCTTGAGAGCTGCATTGACTTAAATGAATTGTACTTGGACATGAGAATATGGGGGTCCTTTAAGTAGTTCACAGAAAATAGAATTGATGATGAGCTTACTGTTGTGCAAAAAGATGGAAACCCCTGTAATTTTTCATTAAAGGGAACTCTCTCTGAACATTTTTGCGAAACTCTCATATAGGCATGGATTTCAATGTTTTTTACATCAAAAGAAACCAATATTTTACATCCATTTTCTCATGAACTCTTTGAACTCCCTCACCATGTTGTGAACAGAGTTGAGTAACATTTAATAGTTGTTCAACTTTTACTCTGCACCTTTTACATGCCGGATGTGGAGCTGGGTGCCAGGGGTGTGCAAGTGTGCCAGTCCCGGGCAAACCACCTGGAGACTGTGCCACCCTTCTTTGTTTCATATGCTGGACAACGAGTTGGAGTCTTTTAAGGAGACCATACTAACGTTACACAATAATTCAGTTTCACTACAAGGACAGCACCTTTTCCGAGAAGCAACATTTCTAGATTGTATCGCCTTTACTGTCCTGTGAGGATGCATCCACATCAACTGCTTGTTCACGGTGCATGGATGAAACTTCCAGTGCCTTCCAGAGGGCCAGAGATTCATCCTGTTCATTCACTACTGCACAGGAACGCTAGGGAGCGATCGACTTGTTATCCTGTGTGGTGGGCTTTCCTTATCTCACGATTCTCAAAGGGTGGCTCTGGGTCACCAGCAGCTGCTTGATCAGACATGCTAGCTAGACATGCAAATCTAAGGGGCCAAGCAGACCTGCCACCTTGGACAGTGTGGGTCAGGGGGCGGCAGTCTGTGTTTCACAATCCTCCAGATGACACTGGTGCTCCCCTAAGTTTGAGAACCACTGAGGGGTCTGGTTCTTATCTCCTCTTCATTGCCCAGCACCAAATGACAGTGATGTCTTGGAGGGGTGGAAGAGGCTCCTGGCTGCAGCTGAGAAGGGTTTTGGTCCTTAACCTATGCTGTTGCGTTGCCTAGGGCTTACTCAACATGAGGATTTCAAAACCTTTGTCAGTGGAAGAAGTGAGGATGATGAGGCTAATTGTGGAGGCAAATCTTAGCTGCCTCCCTCCATGCTGTCCTTTTGGTTCATTCCACTTCTGCCTCAACTAAAAGGACATGAGTGGCCAAGGCTGGGTTACTGTATGAGGATACTTGAAAAAGTCCACGGAAAAAGGAATTGGAAGATAAATTTATTTTAGGGCAACAATTTTTTTGAACTCAATACATTTGAGGGACCTTTAAGAAGTTAATGAAAAAATGTGTGTTATGAAAAAAGTCTGAATTTTGAAATGCTTTTTAAAATTTACTTGAGAGGGTCATGAGAGACAGAGATAGGCACAGAGGCAGAGTTCCCGCCTGCTGGCTCACTCCCCAAATGGCTGCAATACCCCCAGTTGTGGCCAAAGCTGAGAACCAGGAACTCAGAACCAACTCTCCCACGTGGGTGGCAGGAACCCAGTTACTCGAGCCATTATCACTACCTTCCAGAATTTGTACCAGTAGCAAGCTAGACTTGGGAGCTGGAGCTGGGGATTGAACCTTGCTACTCTGATGTGGGACATGGATATTGTAACTGGCATCTTAATTGCTAAGCCAAACACCCACCCCCAAACTGGTTTTGGTTCTGAGATACCCTCATATTTATCACCCAGTGTGGAATGAATTAGCCGTATACACAGATGGCTCTCTAGCCCCTGTGCCTTTTTCGGAAAAGAATCTTCACCTTCTGGGGCAGGAACTTCGGAGAGGTTTGAGGATGTATCTTAGCACAGTGAGGCCTTTGGGCAAAACCTGTCATGTGGACATCATCACATACGTATTAAAAAATGCATTGGTCGGGGATGGCGCTGTGGTGTAGTAGGTTAAGTCTCCGCCTGCGGTGCCAGCATCCCATGAGTGCTGATTCAAGTCCCGGCTGCTCCTCTTCCCATGCAGCTTGCTGCTTGCGGCCTGGGAAAAGAGTGGAAGATGGCCTGAGTCCTTGGGCACCTGCACTCACATGGGAGACTCAGAAGAAGCTCCTGGATTCAGATCAACCCATCTCCAGCCATTGAGGCCATCTGGGGAGTGAACTAGCAGATGGAAGATTCTCTCTCTCTCTCCTCTCTCCTTCTATGTCTGTAATTCTGCCTTTCAAATAAATAAATACATCTTTAAAAAATGCATTCAGGGAGCAATTGTTTAGCCTAACAGATCAGATGCCCCCATATCAGAATATCAGCTCCATTCCCAGCTCTGGCTCTTTATTTTTTATTTTTTTACTATTTTAATAGTGGTTTTACCGTTAATTCTCATAGTACAACACATTAAGGTCAGAGATCTACATGGGAAGAAAGTACACAGTGACTCCTGTTGTTGATTTAACAATTGACACTCTTATTTATGATGTCAGTGATCACCCGAGGCTCTTGTCATGAGCTGCCAAGGCTATGGAAGCCTCTTGAGTTCACCAACTCCGATCTTATTTAGACAAGGCCATTATCAAAGTGGAAGTTCTCTCCTCCCTTCAGAGAAAGGTACCTCCTTCTTTGATGGCCCGTTCTTTCTCCAGCTCTGGCTCTTAACTCTAGCTTCCTGTCAATGCAGATCCCAGGAGGCAGTGGTGATGACTCAAGTAATTGGGTTCCTGTCACCCACATGGCAGACCTGACCAGCACTACTGGCTCCCAGCATTGGTGCTAGGCTAGCCCTGGGCGTTTTGGATATTTGCAGAGTTAACTAGCTGGTGGGAGTTCTCTGTCTCTTAAATAGGTAGATAGACAGACAGCTAGCTAGATAACTAGATAGGTGGATAGATGGATAGGTAGAATTAAAAAAAAAATGCCTTCAGGAAGCCTGGGAGGGGAATGGTTGTTTATCTCAGAGCAAAGAACAAAGACTGTCTGTGGAATGTGTGTTCACTGTAGCCTCTTCCAGTAATCTCTCTTCTGGGAATGGTGTTGCCAAAAATGCTCAGTTTCGTGGAGAGCCTGTTTCCTTGCCAGATGGAGACTGATTCTCACAATGACTGCTCATACTGTAAAGGATAATTTAGTTAATTAGCCAAACAATGGAACTTGAGCATCAGCACAAAATAAAGGCTTTCCTAATGGAATCTCTTTTCCTTACATCTTTTTCAGAAAGAATAGAAGAGACCATTCCCGTGATTATCTCCCCCCGCCAGACCATATCAGCTTCTCTGGGTAAGACCCTCCGGGGCTGTGGAACCCATGCACCTGCAAGAATTCCTGAAATCCCAACGCTAGGGTCTCAGGACCTCTGTGTGGTGCTGCCCATACCTCTCCCTTTGAAGTGTAGTGCACCTGTCAAGTGTGAGGCTGGCATAACAAATGCAAACACTCTGCTCTGTAAAATGTTGTTAGAAATAACATTTTTTGAAAAAAAAAAAAAAAAACCCTAAGAAGATACTTCAAAAAGTTCATGGAAAAGTGGAGTTACAAGATGAGTTGATTTTTGTACAAAATGTTTTTGAATTCTACAGATAGTTTTTCATGATACACATTTCCCATGAACTTTTTAAACACCCTTATACTTTGTTTCGTGCAAATCCTACCTATAAAACTGAATGCAACAAAATGAACATGGCGGTGACGATTGTGAACAGTAGTGAGATTAGTGAATCCCTTATGTAACCAGCATGTTTGCTTATTAAACCCTGGCCGCAGGATCATTCAAACATGTTTAGCTTCCATTTGGTGTTGGATTTCAATTATAAATTTTACTTGGAGAACATAGAGGAGTGGACCTTTTGTGTAGACACTGCAGCTGGCAGTGAACTGCAGCCCACTTGGCTGCCTGTGCTCTGGAAATGCAGGGTATCAGGACCATTGGTTGGCTCCTGGGGCCCTAGCTCCTTAGTGCTCCTAGCACCCAATCCGTTGCTTTGAAAGCACTTCTCTGCATAGTGGGGTCATGTGGGCCTGGATTCACTGGCCTGCTGAGCTGACAGAAGTAGAAGAACTAGAATTCTGAGCCAGAGGTGGGGCCATATGCTACAGAGTGCCCTGTCACCCAAGAGGAAGAAGCGAATGGGAGGGAGTTATGCTTGCTTCTCGCTCCTCTTCTTTGGTGACTTAAAACAGAAAAATAACTGTACCAAAAATGCAGTGGCTTGTTAGAAGGTTAATTCCAAATGAGAACCACCAGGGGTGGAGAGTTTCTAGCAGAGTGCTGTAACTAAGACAACAACGGGCAAAAAGAACAGATTTGCACATTGATCTGGCTGTTTTGAAGTTGCTAAAATACATTGTAGAAGAGATCCCTTAAATTCAGAATATCCTGTAGGAGCTAAGTAGCCCTGGCAAAGCCGTTGCTCTTCCTGTGCCTGGCGTTTGCACCAGCCATGAAGACCAGCTGGAGGAACTGGAGGCATTGGGTGACTGTTCAAGCTCTAGGTGGTCAGAATCATCTGAGGAAACTAAATGTCCTCCTAAGAAAAGCCTGGAAGCTGAAGGGTGTTTGAGAAGACAGGGAGGGACCTACTACCCAAGTTGGCTGATGGTTGTGAGCAGCTGGGGTGCTTCCTGGTGATTGACAAGCTGTGTCTTGCTGTCCACAGGGTCAAGACTGACAATCCCATGTAAGGTGTTTCTGGGAGCTGGCACACCCTTGAGCACCATGCTGTGGTGGAAGGCCAACAACACCCATGTGGACAGCGCCTACCAGGGGGGCCGTGTGACCGAGGGACCACGCCAGTAAGTGGGAGAGAGGGTTCTGTTCTGAGATCCTTGTAGACTTCACTTTTCCTCCTGGAGACATTGTCATATCCTGCTCCTCAGTGTGACCCACACGGACCAGGCGGAAAACAACTCTTGTTGCTTGCAAACTGTTGAACTGTCAGAATTTTAAAAGTTGAGCTTTGCTGAAAATTGTGTTGAGAGTCAAACTTTGTGTATCACTCTTTGAGAGTGGACTTACAGATCTCTAGCTGATATTGATGTTGCAGTTGGTGGCTTTTGCAGTTTGAAGACATGTTTTAGAACGAACACACCTCTATTCCCTCTCTGCAGCACTATTATTGCCTATTTCTATAAAGTCCATCGAAGTCTGTAACATAGCTACAGTGTCTGTAGCGTCCCTTCTGTTTCTTGGGCAACTGAGGACTGTTGCCGTCTCTGAGAGAGATTAATTATAAAAGAACAAATTCCATTTCCATAGCATTCATCTCTAGACAATGTTTTCACACCGTGAAACTAGAACAATTAGACCCTGTCAAGGGGAAGCATTTGCACATGCAAAGAGAGATGATTCAACATTGCACAGTGTAGTTTTAAAATCACACTTTTGATACTCTGAATTAACCTGACCTTTTGCTTGACACATTTTTGTCCTTTTTGGAAGGCTTATCAAAAAGAAATTCTTTCTGTGTGCAATTTACTGGATACAAATTGTGTGTGGTTAGCTCTGCTCCCAAGCCCTTGTTGCGAAATACTTGGCCACAACCAAATGTCCCATGTCAGCTTACTCACACCATCTATTTACTTAAAGCTGATACTTTTTCCTTATAGATGGAGCAAAAATAGTCCTAGCGGGGCCCCTCAGTGATGTTTAGATATGGTGAAGTAGCTTCAGCTTCTTCTAACATCACAAATGGCCTCTCTCTCACCTAGAGCTGTTCTCCCCGTCCGTGAGCAGCCCTCTGATGTCCTTGAGCAGCCAGAGTGAGAACAGAGAACAGAGGTGCAGGGCTGGAGTCCTGGAAACCCCCTACTCTTCAGTATGCAAATAATTTATCAATGAGGGAGTCAAATTTCCCCAGGCTAGACATTTCTGTCTCCAAGGCTGGATCTTTGTTCATCAAGGGCCTTATTCGATGACATTTGCCATTATGCAGACCAAGCTGGCTCCTGTAGGTTCCCATTGTAACAAATGTCCCTATGACAGAGACCAGTATCTTCAATAATTCTCTGACCTTTGGAAGCAGACTTAGAAATTCTCCCAAATGAGTAATGAATACAGTGGCTCGAGCTCCTACCCTCGGGAAGTTGGAAATCACAATGGGCACTTCCAATCACACAGGACTAGCTGTCTATGTTGTAAAAGACAAGCTTGCCTTTGACAAACTGAAAGCAAGGGACTGCTTCTTCCCTCAGGGAATATTCCGAAAATAATGAGAACTACATCGAAGTGCCATTGATTTTCAATCCAGTCACCAGAGAAGATCTGAACACGGATTTTAAGTGTGTGGTCCGGAATACGTTGAGTGTTCAGACACTACACACCACAGTCAGAGAAGGTATGTATTTTGGGCACACTGAAGGGAGAAACAAAATGTTGAAAATTCTACAGATGCTAGATAAAGCTTCTTGTTCTCTAGACAGTAACTCTAGAAATTGTCCAGCTTTGTCCATCAGTGGGCAGCTGAAAGCAACATTCTCATTTTCATTTGTAAGTTTTTTTTTTTTTTTTGGCTAGGGTAGAGCTGGACTTTGGCAAATCATACTCAAAAAATTTCAAGGCAATGTGAGTTTTGGAAACCAGATAAAACAGTTACGTAATAAACGTTTACATACTCTGTGTCCTCATGTGGTTCTGTCTTAGCTCACTGGGATTTTCTCCCCCTCACATGGCCTCTAGAAGAGGTGGATCGCTCTTAATCTTGAAGTTCAAAACTTCATCAGCAAGAGCTGAGGACTGGGACATACCCAGGGTTGAGGGCAACTTTAAGGTCAGCGTCTTTAGACAACAGGAAATAAGTACAAGGCAATAGCCCAAGTAACCCAGTGTCCATTTAGGGACATTTCTAAAAGATAAAATGAAAAACAGCCATTATCAGTTTTGTCCAAATTGATTTCTTCTTGATGTTTAATCTTGAACAGGAAAGGGAGGTGCCTGTATGCAGTTTCTGTTGACAGCCAGGCAGATAAAGCAGAGGAGCCAAAGGGATTCCCAGGGCAGGCTCACTGGGATCAAAGAACCAGAATTCGCCCCACACCTCCCACTTTGCTGGGGAGGTGGCTGCAGGCAAACTCGAAAGGCAATGGTTTGGCCAAGCCCGGAGTAGGGAATGACGCTTACGAGACACCACGACCTTGGTGTCAGGAACATACTTCCTGAATATCAATGCACATTTATCAGGACAAACAAACTCTAATTTTTTCATTTCTGTGAATCTACACTGGCGCGTCCTGTTTTACAGCCAGGGACTGTCCCGTGCTGACCTGCCTTTCTTCTCCCGACAGCCTCTTCCTCGTTCTCCTGGGAGATTGCACTGGCCCCCCTGACGCTGGTCTTCTTGGTGTTGGGGGGACTATGGATGCACAGGCGGTGCAAACGCAGAGCTGGAAAAGCATATGGTCTGACTATGCTGAAGACTGGCTGCCAAGAATTTCCAGCCTACCCAAGTACAATAAAGGAAATGATTTAATGCCAACAGGAACCATATCCTGTCTTATGGAAGTGCTGTGCCTTTCTGATGGCTCCTGCTTTTCCTCAGCTGTTTAACAGAGCCACTGTCAACGGTGGGTTTGAGTAGGCGGCTGAAGTCTTAGGTTCCATTATTTTTCTTGCAATCAACAGCAGGAGCAAATGTGCACGTGAGTCTGAGCCTGAGGAATTCTCTACCACTTGAGATCTCTTGAAAAGAATGAGATACCCTTGGGCCTGACTCCCCGTGGCAAACATCTGAAATGAGTTTTGAAACTCATTCACGCATTCAAATTTATTTTGGCTAGGCTCTAGGAGATGTTGTAGAAACGGAGAAGGGTAAGATGTAGTTTGCCTTTCAGGAAGACAGAATTTCATTTTGAGCCCGGAAAAGATGATTTAGAAATGCCAAAGTGTAAGAAGCAATGAGAGTTGCTGATTTTTTTTGAAATGGTGATCCGAAGGATAATAATTAATATAGAATGGATTGGGCAGTTAGCCTGATGGCTAAGAGGCTTGTTGAGATGCCGGGACTTGCTTCTCGACGCTTGTTCCTGACTTCTGCTTACTTCTGAGGCATACCTGGGAGGCAGCAGTGATGGCTCAAGTGACTGGGCCCCTGCTGCCCATGAGGGAGAACCAGATGGAGTTTCAGGCTCCTTGATTCTACCCCAACAGAGCCCCAGCTCTTGTGGGCATTTGGGGGAATGAAGAGCAGATGGGAGCTTTCTCTATCTGTCCTCTCCCTCTCAAATAAGTAAATAAATAAATAGATTAAGAAACAGCAGTGTGAATTGTTGATACACACAATGGACCGTACTGGTGTGCTGAGAAATAGACCCAACTTTTAAGCATTCTTCTGAAAATGAAGAAAAGGGAAGAGCATTGACGTAATTGTCTACAAATTGGAAAAAAACATAATCAGGGCCTGCTTGGTCTCATGCATCAAAAGACTTTTACATGGGCAAATGGGTTTAGGAAAAAACATTGAATGGCAAGAAAACTAGCATGGCTCTCTCCTCCACTTACTTGGGTGTGTGTTCAAACGGGACCTTCTCAGAGGCCTTTCCAGACAAATACCTCCTAGGGCCGGCATTGTGGCACAGTGGGCTAAACCGCTGCTTGCAATGCCAACATCCCATATCCAACCCCATATTTGGGTCCCAGCTCCTCCATTTCCAGTCCAGCTCCCTGCTAATGCAGCTGGGAAAGCAGAAGATGATGGCCCTGGGAGACCCAGATGGAGTTCCCGGCTCCTTGCTTTGGCCTGACCCAACTCTGGATGGATGCTGTGCCCATTTGGGGGGTAAACCAGAGGATGGAAGATTCTCTCTCTCTCTCTTTCTCTCTCTCTCTCCAGTTTTCTCTCTCACTCTTTCAAATCAATAAAATCTTTCAAAAAAAATAAGGTCACATCTCCTTCATTCTCACTTTGTGCCATGGTAGCTCCTAGTACCACCAGACCTTCTGTGACAGACACTTGTTTATTTTCTATCTGTGTTGGCCCCCTGAATGGAAGAGCACAGCACTGGCCCCAGTATCTTGAAGCAGGCATTTTATATCTCTTAGTAGAATAGAGGAAAATAAGACTGTTGAGTGTTCACTGAAGGATTGCAAGAATAAGGATTGATGGGATTCTGTTGCAATTTTTGCACAATAAAGTCATAAAAACATGATTTAAAGGAAATTGTGTCAAGTCGAAGGATTATAATGGCCACAGACAGAGTTTTTCAATGTTGTAAGAAAGGCATCGGTCCTAGTCCATTTGGGCTGCTAGATCAAAATATCATTAATTTATTTTTCACATTTCTGGGTGTTGAGAAGTCCAAGGTGAAGGCACTGGCAGATTTTCTGTCTGGCAAGGGCCTGCTTCCTGGATCATAGACAAGGCCCCTCGGGAGTTAATTGCCTCTCAGGGCCCCACTTCCTAATACTCTCATAATGGAGGTCAGGTTGCAGCAGACGAGTCTGGGGAGGACCCATTCAGACTCTGACAGCAGCATCCCCCTTGCAGACAGAAGAAAGCAAGTAGGGAATTTGCAGAAGAGACTCCTAGAGGAACACCTGGGAAAATGAGTCAGTAATCACCTGTGAGACCAGTGCCTTCAGACACTTCAGCGAGATCAAGGTTGCTCTGCAGCTGTCACTCTCACACACTGGAATTCCATTTTTAACTTGGTAAGGGGAAGTGCAGCAGTACTATGTACCATGCCATTGGGGTGCGGGGGTCTTCTTGTCCCTTCTTGCAAGAGCCAAATAGGTGCATCCCTTCCCAACTCAGCTCAACGACGTTATATTGGCAACTTCAAACCAGCCACTGTGGGAATATTTACACCAGAGAAATTGGCAGATGCCACAGATCAGCAGTCCCTTCCCTAGCATGCAAAGTCAGTCAAGGATCAGAGAGATACCCGGTAGTGCTACTTAGGGGAGATTGTCTTAGGAACTAATTCAACAAAAGAAAATGGTGTTATGAAAATCTGATGAAATCTGGTGAAGTTTATTAATGGCTTATGAAAAATTATGCAGCCAATTATCAATTATAATTAAGAACATCATTAGACAAACACAATGTTAAGGGAAAATTGAATTCTTTTGTACGATTTTCATGGTAACAGCAATATTCAAACATTTGGACAAACAGGAAAATTAAAAACAGACTTTTCAGACTGATTTCTTGGGCTGAAGTTCAAGCAATGCCAAGGGGTGCCTCCGTGATCCTAGGCAAATCCTTTCATCTCATAGTATGTCCATCTTCTAATTTGAAAATTGGGGATAATGGCAGTAACTATTTAGTCATAATTTATAGCTTTATATTTTATGTTTTTTTTTTTTTTTTTAAGATCTACTGTATTTGTTAGAAAGGCAGAGTTAGAGAGAGAGAGAGAGAGAGAGAGAGAGGTCTTCCACTTACTGGTTTACTCTCCAAATGGCCAAAATGGCCAGGGCTGAGCCAGGAGCCAGAAATTTCTTTTGGATCTCCCACGTCTGTGCAGGGGCCCAGACACTGGGTCATCCTCTGCTGCTTTTCCCAGGCCATTAGCAGGGAGCTGGATAGGAAGTGGAGCAGCTAAGATTGGAACCGGCACCCATGTGGGATGCTGACACTGCAGTCCTGGGTTTAGCCCACTACGCCACATTGCCGGCCCCATTACGTTCTATTTTTCTAACTATGGTAACCATTTAGTAATCAAAAACCTAGGAGGAGTAAACAGGAATAAAAGCGAGCACGTTGTTTAGAACAAGCCCTAACAATCTACACATGGACCAAATCCATCCGCCCTCTGTTTATGTAACTGAACTTTTATTAGAATGTAGTCATGCCTGTTTACATGTCACCTTTGGCTGCGTTTGCCCTTTGAAAACGACTGAGCCATTAAGACAGGAAAAACCTAAAATATTTAGCATCTGACCCTTTACAGACCAACCTCTGGTTCAGACCAAGACCACGGGCTGTTTTTGACCTTCACTTTCTTGTTCCCCCGTGTTGATCTCCTGTCTTCTGTCGGAAGGAGGCAGAAGTAAGCGGGGACAGGCCGAGGACTCTGAGTGCCCTGGGGTGGCAGTGTCAGCACGACAGGAGAGGGGAACAAGGTTGGAGATGACGGACTGGACGAGGACACGGCACACTGCTGCTCTGGGCGCCTCTTTCTTTCCTGCAACTTGAGGACTGTGTGCCCCAGGTCCTCATCTGCCTTCCCTCCTGGGACTTGCCAGGGCTCCGTGGTGTCATCCACCTGCTGATTCCTGCAGCTTCAGCAATGACCCAGGAAAGAAGCTGACTGACTGCAGGTGGAAGAGAACCAGCAGTGGCTTCCCAGAGCCCACCTCGACTGCGTGGGGCTACACATTTCCTCTTGTTCGCCATTTTGGAGCGGGGAGCTGTAGTTCTAGAAAAAGGGCAAGGTGGTTGGGGAATTCTGAATGCTGGCTTCATGCGCATGTCAAGGGATACGTGTGCTATTGGGATTGCAACTCCTTTTTTTTTTTTTTATAACGAGTTGTTGTTGTTTTAGCAAAGAATGGATGATATCTAAGGGGTGTTTCAAACTTATTGCGAAAAGATGGAGTAAAACTGGTCATGTCTTGATAACTGCTTGTGCTGGTGATGGCTACATAGTGCTTTCTTAGGCCATGCTCCCTGCATTTGTGGGTATTTTTCACATTTCCACAATAAAGGTAAAATAGAATGTTTTTCATTTTACATAGTAAAAACAACCCAAATACCCACTAGACTGGAAATAGGTAGAAAAACATAAACCACTACAATGAGTAAGTAAGCTACAGGTAGCAATCTGGGTGAATCTTAGAAATATATTATTTAGCTAATAAGTTCTAGAAATGTTTACTTATAGCCTGATTTCCTTTTATATAAAGTGACAGTTAAAACTAAACATTCTCTGTCTGTCTCTCTCTCTATATATATATACACGCACACAAGTATTTATGAGTAGATATGCAAGTATATGTACATACACCTTTAGTTAAAATACAGACTTTTCATGCATATGTTCTGACATATAAATGTATATGTGTATATGGATATGGTTATGTCAGGTGACAAGTGAGGGAAGATGTCCGTTTAACCAAATTCTTAAGTGTATGTTGTGTTAATGGATTATTGTCATTTATTGTCAATAAACAGATTATGGACCAACGAACAATCCTTCAATGTGTCTTGAGTAAAGGATTATGACTCACTCAATCCTGCACCTCTCAGTCCAAATTAAACACAAAAAGACACAACCAAATGAAGCCAGGTGCTTTCTTTCCCTAGTGTGGTTGATCCCATCTATCTTACGTCAGTACCATTGTTCTAACTTTCCGAAGGTGGATGTTTTCTTCACACCTCTACAAAGTCTTGGGGAGGGGGACAGTAAATAGTTTTATGAAACCTCTTTTTTCTATGCACTTCTTATAGGAAAAGCACTAGCCTTGTGTAATAAGATAATACCCCTAAAGAAGTAAAGATGACAACGGCTAACAACCAAAGGCACCAAAAATAATTTATGCATGAAAAATAATTGGATATCTCAGATATTTCAAATGCTTAGGAGAATATGAGAAGACTCTAAAAAAGTTCATGGAAAAATGGAATTACAAGGTAAGTTTAAGGTTGGTGTTTGGCCAACTGGTTAAGACACCAATTAAAATGTCTGCATCCAGTGGTGGAGTATTTGGGTTTGGTTCTCTGCTCCAGCTCCTGACTCCAGCCTCCTGCTAATGCAAACCCTGGGAGGCAGCATTGATGGCTTCAGTATTTGGGTCCCCACCACCCGTGTGGAAAACTGGCATTGATTTCCTGGCTTCTAGACTCAGTGAAGGAGGTATCTGGGGAGTGAGCCAAAGGACGGCAGCTCTGTCTTGTTTCCCTCTGTTTCTCCACCTCTTAAATAATGACGACATGTTTCAAAAAAGGAATTTATCTGGGTGCAAAAATTTTGACACTCTTGCATATAAAGGGTTTTTAGAAAGTTTGTGGAAAATGAATATTATGAGAAAACATGCACATATTTTTGGCACCAAGATAAACTTACCTTTTAACTACATTTTCTGTAAGTGTTTTTTTTTTTAATGTTTACTCTCTCTCTTTTTTTTAGAAAAAGATTTATTTATTTATTTGAGAGTCAGAGTTACACAGAGAGAGAAGGAGAGGCAGAGAGAGAGAGAAGTCTTCCATCCGCTGGTTCACTCTCTAGATGGCCGCAATGGCTGGAGCTGGGCCAATCTGAAGCCAGGGACCAGGAGCTTCTTCCAGGTCTCCCACACGGGTGCAGGGGCC